AGAGGAAGAAGCAGGCTCCATGCACCGGGAGCCCGACGTGGGATTCGATCCCGGGTCTCCAGGATCGCGCCCTGGGCCAAAGGCAGGCGCTAAATCGCTGCGCCACCCAGGGATCCCCACATTTATTTCTTAACTAAATCAAGATTTTTTTTTTTAAATGGTAACTAGAGTGAGTGAGGTCCTTGGCACTTTACATTTATGGACCAATTGCCCATACATGATTTCATTGGATGCTCACACCCTGTAAGTGGGCAGAGGGAAACATTATCTCAAAAAAATTTTTTTTAAATACGTATTTACTTATTTTAGAGAGAGAGAGAGAGAGAGAGAGAGTAAGCGTGGGAGGTGTGCAGAGGGATAGAGAATCCTGAAGCAGACTCCCTGAGGCTGACCACAGAGTTTGACTGGGGGCTTGATCTTACAACCCCAAGATCATGAGCTTAGCCAAAACCCCAAAAGTTGGATACTCAATTGACTGAGCCACCCAGGCACCCGTCAAATTTTCATATGAGAAAACTGGGGTTCAAAAATGTTGCAGGACTTGTCCAAGTTATTGAGATGGTGACAAGATTAGATTCAAAATCCATCTACGTTCACCTGAGATGCACTCTGCATTGCTGCAGAACAGGTGGTGAGAAGTGATGTTATGCTGGTAGGGCACTGTGGAAGACCTTTCTGGAAGAAGGGGGGGGGGTTCTTTTCTCATATGGAGTGCAGAAATGGCACAGAGGAAAGGCAAACACGAATGGCAGTCTTCCATTTTCCAGACATTTCTGGGAAGTGCCTTCTAGTAAAAGCAGAGAAATTGGAGAAAGTAGAGGAATTGAGGAGGGGGTGGTAACTGCTCTGCTGGAATATGTCTCATCAAAGAAAGGGTTAAATATGTGGAAATTATGGGATTCTATGTAGAAAGTGTTAAGTTTGAAACAGAAGAGTGTGAGATTTCACTTTCTTTTTGAGTTAACAGGTCAGCTTGCCATAATTATAAATATGCTGACAGGAAGCAAACATGAGGTTTCTGAATCAGAGACTGTTTATTACTCACAAAGCCCTGAGCATGGATCTCCAAGCCCCCATCACTACAGAACTGCATGGTGAGCTACCTAAAATGTAGTTAAATCACTACAGGCCAAAGAAAATTACTCTTCTTTCTGAGTGGTCACAGTAGTCTCACTGATAGGAGTGTGGATAGAATTAAGAGTGGGGAGGGAAGATGGGTATGAAGTAGAAAAAGCAAGGATAAGCTAGGAGCTACAGGTATTAGCTGGGATCCAAGAGAATGGGCTGGAATATGTATTGGTCTCTCACAGCCTTCTAACTTCCAGGTTTGATGATGGGAGTGTTGACCAGGAGCAGCTGGCAAACTAAATGTTCTCTTGGTCACAGAGTCACAGAAGTTGAAGGAGGAGAGGCAGCAGGAGCTAGAGTTGCTATAGGCCAGCAAAGTAGGCAGGCAGATCAATAAGGCTTCTAGCCTGGTTCTGACCTTCAAAGCCTTCAAAGCAATATGGATGCTACTTCACTACCATCTTCCAAATCACCTGCAAAATGTCTCTTAACCTCCCCACAGAATTACACACACACAGACACACACACATCTAGACACATACACACAGGAGTTCTGGGAAATGTAGTTTTAGCTTAGCTGAATTGACAGTCCTAAGTCCCATGCCCTCATCTGTGTGAATTAGACTCAGGAGATGCCTCTAGGCATCACTAAGGTCTTTCATATGAGCTTTCAGACTGTTTATAAATCTTTTAGTCTTCTCTGCACTATGCCATCCGAAGCCTCTGTCTTTTCCTTATATTTTTGCTACTCTCAAACCATCCTCTATCTCTTATTTGTATTCTCTGAGACTTCCCATCACTCTGTAGATAATGTGGCTGAGTGCCAGGCACTACCCTGGCAAAGGCCCAGGCATCTTGGCTTATCGGAATGAGAACCTCATGGTTCCCATGCTTTGTTCTATGTCCTTATGATTTTTAAGCTGTGCTTATGCTGAGCTAGGTGTGCCTTGTGTTTCTGCAGTCAAGCATGCCTCGTTAGGAAGTCTGTCTTACATACAGATTTACTGAACCTGGTGCCGACTCTATCCCCTGATTTCTAGTGGGTCAGAGTGTTTTTCCTAACAAAGAAGAGCAGTATGCTTTGGCACAGCTGCTTGGTATTTTTCCTAGAATGGTAGAAGGAAGCAGACATTCATTTGGTTTTGCCAGTCTGTCTTTGTCTAAATTGTCCCATTTGGCTTATCCTGTTGGCTTTCATTTATTAGGATAGTGATGAAGGAAACTGTGCCTCTTGGTTTATGAGCTTGAACCCAAGTGCATCAACATGTGCCTTAGCAGGACAGAGATTACATAAATATTTCTGGGCTATCAGATCTCTGCAAAGACCATTTCCACGTTCCAGATGTAGGGTATGAATGTGCAAATCCCACGTGGAGATCACAGTTCACTAACTTGTGGATGGCCCCGCAGAGTAAAGAAGTGATTCAGGATAATGACTCTGCACGCTGTAGATGAGAGACCCAGAAACTACAATTCTTTCGGCGCTGTTTAAAATTTGGGCAAGGAGCCACATTTCTGAGGCAGAAAGAATTGTATTTTCCTTTTCATAATAATAAAAAAAATCTTTAGCATTTTGGAATAAGCAATATTCATCTCTCAATTAGTATTAACAGCTAATCAGGGTGCAGCAGGGTGGTAGAGCTCTCGTCAAACAGCAGGCAGCTTGTTTTATTTTTTCAATGCCACTTAAAGATTATTTGAAAAATCTCCTTCAGAGACCAGTGTGTGGAGAGCCACGTACCCTCAGTCAGAATTTAAAGTGATCCAAAATACAATATTAATGATTGATGCACAAGCTCACAGTTTGGTGCTGGGGTTTAATTAGATAAGCATTGCAGCTGTTTTCGGGTGGAGGCAACTTGATGGGATGCAAAGCTGTTATGTGACTTCCCATCTACAGGGTATCTACTGAAGCGGAAACAGAAGCAAGCTACGAGGAATTATGATGATGACATTCTTTTTCAGTGTTGAAATGAGTAGAAGTCTGATTGTGGGGGAGAGAGAAGCATTTTATAATTAAAAAGGCGAGCTTGGATCTTCTGTTCCATTTGTTGATGAACTGAACACTCATAAAAAGCAGCTAGTGCAGCCAAGCCACTACTGGTGAGACATGCGTGAAGAGCTTGCATATGTGGCTCTCTTGGTTCATACCACTTTGCAACATACAAAATCTTCTTGTTTCAAATCCATCCTTCACCTTGCAGGCATCAGAGTTGTGGTCAGGTCATTTAGTGTCTTATTCATGCAGACATATACCTGCAAAAGCTGCTTTGGAATCACTCAATCTCTGAAAACTTAAGAATTTAAACTGGGTTCGATAGCATTTCATTTCACTGAGTCAAAGAGATTGTCAACATCTAATTACAGTAGGAGTTTGGAGTCTTCTGTGTCTCGAGCTGGAAATGACTAGAATGCACTGTATAGTGTCTATCTGCAGCTAAGCATCAGTATGTGTGCATGACCTCTATCACGTGAGACAGGTAAAGAGTACAATTTATTGAAGCTCATTGTAAATTAAATGTGCAAGACTTCAAGAAGGTGTCTCACCAGACTAAGGCTCAGAGCTCTCACATTGAAAGTGGTATTGTTAAATTGATCTTTAAAACCCCTTTTTCCAATAAAAATGAAGCTTGTCTAGGTGTCCCGTGTTGTGAGATGATTATAATAGTCATCTATGAAATAAATTCTTGATAGCTCCTTGTCAGTATCTATAAAATGTGAAGTTATGCATGAATGCCAAGTATTTCATTTTTGTTGTGTAGGTGAAGCTTAATGAGCCTTCTCCTGATTGTTTTAAATCAATTTATGAGAAAGTAGAATAAATCTGACTCTTTCAATGTAAGTAGGGGAGAATTAAATCTTTTTGGAGGTACATTAACTTGCTTGGGTTATTAAATTGTCATTCTTTGCACTGAGAAGGGATTTGTGCACTGCTCTGTTCTTTCTTGTTAAAGGTGTTGCAAGGTGAACAACTAGGGATTAGAAAAGTTGAAAAATCAAGTTCTGGTTTGGACCTTTTCTAGCTATGTGATCTTTGCCAGTTTGCTAAACCTCGAACCTCCCTTTCCTTAATTGCAAAATGGGATGAATGGTCCCTTGCCTTCTTATCTTCCTTGGCAATTTTGAGAATCCAACTGGATGAAACATGTCTTTAGGTTTATTTTTTTTAATTTTTTTTTATTTATGATAGTCACACAGTGAGAGAGAGAGAGGCAGAGACATAGGCAGAGGGAGAAGCAGGCTCCATGCACCGGGAGCCCGACGTGGGATTCGATCTCGGGTCTCCAGGATCGCGCCCTGGGCCGAAGGCAAGCGCCAAACCGCTGCGCCACCCAGGGATCCCTGTCTTTAGGTTTAGACCTGAAGTTGAGTGTGTCTAATATTCTGCAAATGTAATAGTTAATAGTGGCTTCTGTGAGGCAGGTCCCATAGTTTACACCATAAATCTACTGAGAACATATGACCGTCCCTTAAACTTTCCACTGAGCTAAGACAATGGCTATGTTGGGTTTCCAATGCTTTTCCTAATGGTAATACTTTTACCCCTGCTTGTTTGGAGAAGGTGAGGAAGAAGTATAAGATCATTCACACAGAAACAGAGATGAGGAAAATCAGATTTTGTGCACACTTGATTAAATTACAAGTTAAAGCTTGGACCCATGCCTTCTGGTTCTAAGGTGAGTGTTGTCCTCTTTTTAGTAGATTGTCTCTCTGGACAGTCTGCAAATAAATAGAAATGGAGAGGTGGACTATCGAGGAAATGTGTGATTGACTTTGGAATCGAAGGGTGCAGATGTCAACAAAGCAGGTATTTCATTTGAGAAGATCAATAAGCTTAGCAGCAGGGTTGCCATGAACACACTGATATAACTGCCTTGTGAATACATGACAGTTGGCTATATTGTAGATTTTTTTTAAACATAGAATGTACCCTGTGAATATTCTTGCTGTTCTGATTTTGTAATAATTGTGGCAGGCTAAACATTCTGTATATCAAGACCATGCATGTGTTCCTAGATCTAGTTCTTCCCCTAGTCTGGTTTTATCAATGCTGGTGATTAACCAAGTCTGATTTATATGATGCATCTTGTGTGGGAAATGTCTATGACTCTAGGTATCTGATCATCCTTGAGAAATGACAGCACAGCTAGTGTAATAACTTTTAAAGATAACCATTGTTAATTTGATGATCACAAGTTGCCATTAAATTAATTATAAAACTATTGTGTTTTATTTTCTAGGGAAAAACAATAGAATGTACTCCTTTTAGTTGCGTGCAATAATGATTATTGAGCACTTACAAGTGATGCTTCTATACTTGTTCCCTTGGTAAAATAATTAACACATGGTTCCTCAATGTTTTTTCTAATTGATGCTGATGGAAAAGCTGACAACAGCAAGTTGTAGGAATATTGCAATACTCCATCAAAATTTCTAAGGATAGAAATGGATTATAGTGCTTTAGACATCACCATACATCCTAACGGCAATCAGTAAAAATTACCGATGCTGGACTGAATGGATGAGCCAAACAAAGCCTGGTGGTATACTGAGTGAAAGGTAGGCATGAATTTTCTGGGTGGAATGTAGGAAATGCTATTAAAAAGTTAATGTGTGAGTCCTATACACAGGTCTTGAAATGAACAAACAAGCACTTGTAGAATAATAGTAATCATGATAAATAATAACAGTAATTACTTTTATTTATTGGTGTTTATTCATCTTCCAATCCAGTCAACGGGTCCTCTTTCCTCTCTTTATAAACACTCTCCTTGGGCTTCATTATCTTCCCAAAGCCTAAATTTACCATCTGGGTAGCAATGACTCAACTCAAACAACCTTCCTGTGCCTCATGAGTGCCTGCCCCTGCCTCTGAACACTCCAATAGCGTTTTTCACAGGACTTCTATATCAGCCATTTGAAACCATGGGTCTGAACAAGATTGGCCTAAAGAGACAAGATAAAGTAAGAAAGGTAGAAGAGTTACAGTCAACGATTAAGGAAACCCGACATTTTAAAGGCTAAGTCAATGAGGATTTTAGAAACAGAACAAACCTATAATGACCAGAGAAGTAGGAGCACAATCAAGAAAGAGTGGTGTCACTGGGGGAAATCCAGAAGAAGAGAGTGTTTCATGAAGAAGGATTGCTTGGTAGGATTAAAATGCCAAATAAGATAAGGGCTGAAAATGCCTGTAGGATCAAGCAACACAAAGACCAGTAGTGAACCTGGCCAGACCTGTTTGAGTGAAATGCAATGGATGGAAATCAGATCCCTGTGGGTTGAGAAGTGAGTGGGAGCTGAGTAAGGGGAGACAGAAAGTACAGGCAACTCTCTCACCTAGAGTTATTTTAAAATCAATGATGCTATTTTCCATTTGTTCTCTTGGAGTCACAGTTAAGACAAGCTGTAAAGGATTCCATCCAGAAAGGCCTCCCATCAATCTGGAGCTAATGCTATTTCCAGCACTCAGGGAGGCTCCTGGGAACCTGGCAAGATTTTGTTGCCAGCCCACCTGGTCTAAGATTTCCAGGAGCAGCTGGCTTGTTCCAGAGAGGTCCAAGTCCTTCAATCCATCAGAGACCTCAATCCATCAGAGACTTCCAGGCCCAGTTCTGTGAAAATTTCTAGGCCAGTTATTTTCCCCATGACTCATCCATGTTTTTCCTCCAAAGTGAAAAACGTCCTCCAGTCATCATCCTCTCCAAAATCCCAGCTCCCTGTGGCTCTGTTTCTGTCTCCCTGAACCAGATGTGATTGCTCTCCTTCTAACCTTTTCCTTTATAGTCTTCACAACCTTTACTTAATTGCAAATCACTTCATGTACACACAGATGCTTCGTCCATTTCCTGGCTGTCCCTGAAAACTTCCCTCTCAAGTGACACACATTTGGATTGGGGTCCTCCTTGCTCCCTGAGTAACTTGCAGATTTTTTATTCTTCCACAGTACCTTTTGGCCACTCCCTTCTTATGGGGAGCCTCTGGGCTCACTATCAATCTTTTCATCTCAGGTGTGAAGAATCCACCCTTCATCCTAGGCTCTTAGCTCCTTTTCTTCCTCAACAGACTAGGAATCTGGTAGGACCTATCATCCAAATTTCTCCCACAGTTGACCACTCCTTCTTCTGCCTTCACTGCTTTCACCCTGTCCAGGCCACCACAGTCTTTTACCTGGGCTGCTACATACAACTCATAAATCAGCTTCTGGGAGCACCTGGGTGGTTCAGTGGTTGAGTGTCTGCCTTTGGCTCAGGGTGTGATCCCTGGGTCCTGGGATTGAGTCCCACATCGGGCTCCCCAGAGGGAGCCTGCTTCTCCCTCTGCCTGTGTCTCTGCCTCTCATGAATAAATAAATAAAATCTTTAAAAAATATATAAATCAGCTTCTGGTTTCCCCTCTTGCCCCCACAGTCAATTTTCTACTCGGTTACCAAAGGAATCTCCCTAAAATAGATCTCACCATTCACATCACTACTCAAAGCTCTTCTAGGGGCTTTTCATCATGCTGAGACTAAATTCCAAAGCCCTCTGGGGCTGACCCTCTGCTCATCTCCCCGTTTCATCTCCTACCATGTCCCCCTTGCTCACCCTGTTCCCCCCATTCTGGAATGCTCTGACTCTCCCAAGCTCATTCCCTCCTCCTGGCCTCCGATGAGCTCCTCCAGACATCCACAAGGCAGTCTCCTTCTTCCATTCAGCTTCTGTTTGCATGTCAATGCCCCAGAGAGGCCTCCCTGATCTCTTTGTCTAGAATAGTCCCTTCTTGTCCCTACCCCCAACATCACTCTCAGCTTGATGCTGTGCACACTACACAACCACAGTTATGTCCATTCATATTTGTGTTAGCTTCTTTCCTACATTGGAACCTAAGTGCATCGAAGAACAGTGTATGCCTGTCTTGCTCACCTCTCTCCTCAGTACCTACAGTTGAGTTCAGCATATCATATGTGCTGAAAACTAAATGTATGTTGGATGAATTAATAAACAAGCTCTTCTTCACTCACCATGTCTTAAGTCCATAAAACAAGTTATTGTGGAGTCTCACTCATTGGGGTATAGACATAAAATACAAATTCTTCTCCTAAAAGTGTTATTACTGAAGAGCAGACTTTCTCAGCATGACTCACAGCTGTGTGCTCACTCTCAGGCCTTAGTAAGCTTATTCTAGTCCTATCCTTTCTAATGTTTGTCTATGATTTAAAGACCTCCTTCCTACCAGCCTGTCACTCTAGTCCCAGTGTCTTGGTCCATTCAGGTTGCTAGGACAGTATCATGGACTGGGCTTATAAGGAACAGAAATTTATTTCTCACAGTTCTGGACACTGGAAGTCCAATATCAGGATGCCAGCATGGTCAGGATCTACTGATAACCCTCTTCCGAGTTGCAGACTACTGGCATTTTATATTCTCACATGGCAGAGAGCAGAGGGGAAGCAAGCTCTCTGGCAACTCTTTAGGGTGCTAATCCCATTCATGAGGGCTCCATCTAATCCTAACTACCTCCCAAAGGCCCCACCCCCAAAGCCATCCCAGGGGGGCTGGGTTTCAACACACAGATTTTTGGGAGGACAAAGCATTTAGTGATTAACACCTGGTTTAGACTGGAGGGAGGTGTGTGGCTTTCCCCCCCCCCATGTGTTCTCCCCTCTCTACTGGGCAGGAACAAGTAGAGCTTTTGTGTGAGGGGGAAAACGAGGCAGACCTATGTGATTGACAGCTGGTATCATGGTTGTTGGCCTCTGTCTGCTTTGTTAGTCTTCTGTTTGCAAAGATGCCTCCCAGAAAGCCCAAAGGAAAAGTAACTGTTCGATAACTGGAAATTTCTCTGAACTTAAAATGTGAGGCCATCAGTACTTTTGTACTCAGCTTTGGATCTAAATTGCAATTCTGAGAAGGAACAGAGCCCCCATGTCATTCCTTCCAGCTAATTGTCAGGAACTGTGCAACCTCTGAAACCATAAAATAAATACTCTGCTCTAACCTCAGCTCTCCAGGCTCCCAACATTCTCATCCTCTTTGACCTCCTCAAGACTTTCAGCCTCCTTATCCACCAGCCTCTGGAATCTTCCTTCATTCCCTGCCCTGCCTAGACCTTATGGGTTGTTATGTCTAACCTCTTCAGAGAGCTTTTTCTGGGCTACTGCAAATACACAGCCTCCTCCTCAGCACATTTCATCCATAGCCACCACAGCTGTCAGCAATTCTGATTTTCTTGCTTCCCTGCTCGTGTCTTATTTGTCTCCACAGCACAATACCACCAACAACCCTTGCCTGTTTTGTTCACCGCTGTGTCACTCATGCTTAGAATAATGTTTAGCACCAGTCGGTCCCTCAGTAAATATTTGCTGAATGAATGAATACATTTCAATAACCCTCTTGCCATACCCTCATACCTTTGGCCCTAAATTCTGCCCTATCCAAAAGGCCATCTTGGTCCATCTGTCCATCTACCTTCCCTGTGCCTGCTGAGCATTGTTGGAGAAAATGGTGCAACACTTGGATTGCAACTCCTACCCACTCCTGACAGTGATCCCCACCTTCAGCTGAGGGCAATAGCACTTCTTGTGGCCCTCAGTCATCTCTCTCCACTTCCCACAGTGTTTGCTTCAAGGCTTCCTCAGTTTTCACAGGCTCCTCACTATGGAAACGGAAGATATTAAGTGGGGTGTTCATTCATCTTCATACCATCCATTCACTTCAATATAGAATGGACTTCCCTTCCCTCCTACATAAGCACGTGCCCTCCCCTGGGCTTTCTCCCTCCTCAGTGACCTCCATCCATCAATTAACCTTTCTCCTGTAGTTTCAGTATCTTCTTTCTTGTTGCCTTTTTGCCATCAGTATCTAAATGTGACCATATCCCTTTAGCATTGAAAACATAACCTCCCAAACTTACCATTCCCCTTATAGTTTCTTTTAGATCCTATCTCATTTTTTTTCCAATTTTCTCTATATATTTCCTCTAATTCCATCTGTCCTATTCACACTCTAACCCTCTATAATCTTATTACACCCCCACCACAGTAAAGAACCCTTCTTTTTCTAGGTCACTATCATATTATAC